GCTCGGGGACTGGCTGGGCATCGGTCGGCGGGTGGTGAGCAATTGCATCATGCATCACTTGTTTTGTATATTCTATTATTATTATTATTATTATTATTATTATTATGGTCTCTTTGTTTGCTCTCCTATTAAACTGTCTATCTCAACCCATGGGTTTTACTTTTTTTTCCGATTCTCTGACCCATCCCACCGGGGTGGGGGGAGGGTGAGCAAGCATCTGTGTGGTGCTTGATTGCCGGCTGGGGTTAAACCACGACAGTAACCAAGCTATTTCCCTAGTATTTTTGCCCATTGTAAGCTGTGATTCATTTCTGTTTCTCACTACTTGTGTCTCTCAGTCATCTATCTTCCTAGTAGCTTTATTGTAGCTAAACTAGCATACATTGCCTTCAAATTATTCCTATCTGCCAAATCAGCATTCATATAATTATTTTATCTCTAAAAATTATTATATATTGTTCCCTATATTGCCTTATGCTAAATGCTGTACTTAATATTATATCTCTAGGCCTATGTACAAAGTTAAGATTAAATGATAAGCCTAGAGATGGTGAAAGCTAATCTGAGGCTTACTACAATGCCTGGAGTTTGAAATCCCAGATTCAGTGCACTGCTCTGCTACAGATTGCCTGGATGACTCTGGAAGATGGTTTTGTTTCTTTGTGACTCAAGTCCCCAGATGCTATGTGGACAATAATAGTATGGCTGTGAGTGCAGAGATACGAAACATAATGAGTGCTTCATACAGTTGTTATGGGAGCTGTGGATGTATCCAAAGGAAAGAGAGAGAGCAAAACTCAGAGTTTGAACAAGCAAATACTGTTATTGTCACAGCCACTGTGAAAAGGGGAGGAATTACAGAAAAAGGAAAACATCAATGGGAAATGTGGTATAGAATAGGAGTGAGCATGAGGAAGAGTAAGAGGATACATATACCTGCAAATCTGAATACTTACTGACTTAGGCGAGGTTAATATATTAAATTTATTCTCATATCTATCCAATGTTAGAAATAGGATTAATTTTAACAGTGCAAGATATTGCTGGACCTGTAGAGCCGCTGAAATGGAAGCTGTTCTTTCCAGGTCAGAGGAAGCTGAGGTTGCTCTTCACCTCCCAGGACTACGTCCATTGTCAGGAAGGACACGTTTCTTCCACAGACTGCTTTCTGAAGGCAAAATACAAATAGCACACCAACAAAAAGAGGCAAATCTGGATGATATTTGTCAGTGAGGGCTGACATTTTCACAGGTATTCGTTATGTTGAGGTCTAAAGTGGTCATTGCCGGTGAGTTCTTCTGGTATGAAAATTAGGATGACGTTCAACTGTTTGGATGAGCAGATCTAATATTTTTTGGCTCTTAAACATGGTTTATAAACTTACCATCTTCATGGATGTTTTGGGTCCTTGCTTTTGGTTGTTCTGCTTAATATGTCACATATATCTATTTCTGATAAATAGCTACCATATTTCTTTTTCTGTCCCTGTGGACTTCTGACCTAATACTAGTTGAAGCACAGATGTTCCCTAAAACATCCTGTGTACTTATACATCTCAATATTTGTGATGCATGGAATAGTTCAGTGTATTGGCTAACTGTTACGTCACTGGAAAGAAGTTAAGTTTTGCCAGGTATTTTGTTACATCTTTTCAATCAAGCAAGCAGTAAAACATGATTCTGTAATGGTAAAAGGTACCATTTCATTTAGCATGAAGCATGCAACAGCTTCATTTCCTTGCTAAAGATCCCTTCCACTAGGCTCACCAAACAGAAGGGAAAAAGTGCTTTTTCAAGCCAATTTCCACTCTAAAGCAGCAAGAGGTGGTGACTGCCTGCTTTTAGCAACCAAAACCCTTCAAGAGCACTGGAAAAGAGCATGCAGCAGCAGTTGCAGCTCTCCATTTAAGCAACTGGATGTATCAGGCATCACCCCAAATCTGACCCAGCTCCCAAGAGAAAGATTTCTTACTTCGTCTTTTCCTGGCTGAGTTAGGAGATTTCAAATCAGTCCCTATTTGAGTCTTCTTTCAATCTGAGCTGTGTCTTGGAGAGCCTAGCAAGGTGTCGCTGCTGCCATGTAAGACCACAAGGCATGCATCCAGTTTCAACACAGACAGGAACAGGCTAGCTCCATTGAGAGGGCTCCTTCTGGGAGTAAAACTTGAAATTTTCAGGGAAGGGATGCACCCTGATGATGAGCAGTCTTTACCACATTGCTCATCTCCTGTGGAAGTATAGGAACGCAGTGAGAATGCCGCTAGATGCATCATAGTCCCTGATGTTTTGGGACTGATCTGTTAATTTATTTGGGAGGCAAAGGGAAGCTTTTCTTTGTGTAGCATTTTATGGGCTGCCTTATGACTGTTTCAGACCACCCTGACTCAGTCTGCCTGCCTCTCCAGTCCTTCCCCTGACAACTCTCTCTGGCTATGAAACATGTGGAGGCAACAGATTCCATCCTTGAGGTGTACTAGACTGGGGCTATATCCAAACTAGCACATTAAATACGCTCAGAAACATCCTTGGGTGTTGAAGCCAGCTGGCACAGAGCAGCTCATGTCTACCCTGGTAAATGTTTTATGCGGAGTGGCTGCACAAAGCAGCCTGCTGGAGAACATTCCTTAAGGTCCTAGCCAAGCCTGGTGACTGCTGGGGAGAGCGTTAGGTGGCACAGGCCAAAATCGTGCCAGGGCATGTGCTAATGGTTTGCTGTTATGGGTGGTCACATTACACTGCTTGGGGATGTTCCAGGTCTTGCTAGGTTTTACTAGTATGACTGCAGTCTAAATGTTTAAACCTCTGTTGAGTTATTGTGGAAGATAAGATCGGTTACCAGGCGTCCAGTTCCTCTGCATGAATGGTTTCTAAGCACAAGAGGGCAATATTGAGTTGTTGAAAGTGTCTATAATATCAGGCCTGTATTTCGCCTGGGATATTATTTCTTCCTCTAATTTCTTTCTATTTGATTACAAGCATTTCACTCAGATGTTATGGTACCATGTGATACTAAAAACCTGATATAAATATTCAAAGTCTAACTCTGTAATTTTAATGCAGGAACCACCCCAATTTTCTGGTTTTCATATTAGTTTGCTAATAAGTCATATAACCTGCTATACTTAAGTTTTATTTTTAGGTAGAAGAAGAAGAACCGACCGGATATATTCATCTGGAAAAATTTCTTCCAGTGATGACAAAAGTACTGCTCGACAGAAGGTAACAGAAAGTGGATTTTCTGTGTCTGTAGTTTATTCCAGATTGACAGCGTTGATTCTGAATAAATATTTCTACAGTAATTTTATGTAACAGGAAGGAGTACAGATTTTATTTGTTATTTAAACTCAGTTTATATTAGCTAGATAGATTTTGTTTCAAAATTACTTCATCTACATAAAATTATGTTGTATGGATGATATAAATGATAACAGCTTATAATCATGGATTGTGATAATGTGTAGCTTTTGTATTTTTAATGTGAATCAGAATTAACTTGCTATTCAACATGTTTTGTGCATCTCTGAAATATTTTATATGTAAATTAAGGTTATAACCATTACTTTCTCTGAACATGAGTTGCAGATCCTGAGAAGCACAGTCTGTTACAGTGTATTTTTAAAAAGTTGTATAAATCAGCTTCATGTTCATGTCTCAAAATGGCTGCCAGGTACAGTTGAATGTACACAACTAGCACTCTAAAAGACTGCCGATCTAGAAGTCTAGGACAAAAATGCTGTTCATTATTCAAAGGTACATAGAACTCTTTGCATGTACACAGGAACTTGTGCTATTTTGATACTTTGCACTAAAAGCGAGATTACTTACAGGTAATTTATCTTTCTTTTTAAAGCTGGTAGCCAAGGGTTTTGGAAGACTGTCTTGTCCAATACTGAGAAGTTATTTTGCACACAGAGGGACTTTGGTAGGAGGGTGTTCTACATATGAAATAGCTATAGGATTTCCCAAAACTGTCTCGCAGCATCCAGAGGCAGCGGGGTCCACCTTGGGGCTGTGTTTGAGAGTCTTTGCGCCTGTGCCTGGACACGGACCAGCCAGCAGTGTTTGGGTCCCGGTGTGCTGGCGCAGGTGCATTGCCTTCCCAGGTTCCTGCACCTTTGCCTTCTCTGGCCTTTATGGCACATTTCTGGTTCTACACTGATGTTCACCCTTTCACAAAATTATACCTTGCTGCTCTGGGCTCTCTTCTCTTCCTCCACCCCCCCCCCCCCAAACACACCCCAGAAGTATTCCAGAGATGTTTCTTTAAAATCCTTTTTCATACACACACACACACACACACACACACACTCAAAAACCCCACACATACTTTCCCCAGGCTAGTGCAGGCTTGTCAAGACCCACTTTATCTTTTGGGGCACTATGTCCATAGTTCACTTATCCAAGGGCACATGAGATTTGTATCACAAAAAACAAGGCCTCTTCTTAGCACATTTGATTTTTAGATAGTAAAAGAGCAAGGCGGGTCTGGATGAAACAATCAAGAAGTTAGAACTTCCCTGGCTTCAACGTCTTCTCTTTAGTATCCTTGGGGTTTGGTGAGTCTGCTGGGATATGGAGGGTCTCCACTGCTGCACAGGGCTTCCTTTCCAGCTCAGAAATCAGGCACACATACGCATGCACACACGTGCCCAGTTCTCCTGTCTCTCGGAAATTGTTTGTGACAGACCTTTTCTTTTATAGCTACCAGCCTCCTTTGCTCATCATCAGCTCATTAGACTGTCAAAGTCCCACTAGGTGATCTGTTGCCTAGCTACCAGCGTACCTGGACAAAACGTTGTTTTCTTGGTTTGGCCATCTTCTGTTCAGTGCATTGGCTACGTGGAATGATTCAGCTGTTATTGATTCCTACTAACACACTCAGCCAGCCCAGACATGCAGAAGCCAATCATCTGGCTCCTTAGCACAAGGAAGATTAAACAAGAGTACAATAAGAGGCGTAAGAGGTAAAGATATGGACAGTTCCAAAAAGTCAAGCTGGAATTAAATGATTGATAGGCAAACTTAGTAAATTCTCATAGAAAATAAGTTTTCCCTTTCTTTTACTACTCATATTTTATTCTTTCAGAATAGTACAGCAGCCTGGCAAACAGTAACTTAACTTTTCTGATTCAATGGTTTCAGGTACCGGCCTATTCCAGAAGATGTTCTTCTACATGCATTTGAGGTCTGTAACTAAATATGCAAGTACCTAATTGCTGGAAAGAAGTTGCTGATTCTTGATTCAATATGATTAAACCCACAAGTTTTATTCTTTTTCTTTAAAGGCTTTGGATGAGAATAAACGTGGATATATTACTAAAGAGGAGCTGGTCAAATATTTGACTGAAGAAGGTAACATGACTTTTGTAATATCAGTATTTAAGTAAATAAATATTACATGTGTATATGGCACCTTGAGGTCCTCATTCTGCAAGAAAAAACTTGTGGGAGTAGATACATTGTCTTCAAACAATACTGTTGCCATGATGAGTGGCTGCAGACTAAAACATTTCACTGGTGAATAATGCAGGGAAAGAACATTTATCTGCCTGCTTGCAGACATTATAAGATGGAGATTATTATTATTAAGAGTCATAATTCAATCTTGTGTGGATATTTTATGATTCTGTGTACATCTCTGTGCTTCCTAAGGATGTGCCTCTTCTTCTGTCCTCCTGTAAAATTGTAGTTTAGATTTCCAGATGTTTCAGGTAGTTTCAGTGCTCGTTCATTCCTACATTATCTTGATCTTAATTGTAGTGCCGTATGCAAACAAAGAGATTCAAAGACCAGATTTAAGTTGTATATCATGTAATCCTCAATACCCCTTGAAGAGCCTGCTTTTCTTGCATGGCTGACTCATGCTTGCCTGCCTCAAGTACAAAATGATGTGCAGGCTTTGCGCAAGACCTATCCTCATGAGGACGGGGACCTTGTTCTCAAAGAGGGATGCAGGAGACCATCAGCAGCTTTGAAGCTCCTAAAAGAGAAAAACCAGAAGCCTTTCATGGTGTAAATACAAGTGAAAGGATAGCCAAATGAGAGATAATAATTCTAATGTACATATTAGAAGAATTCACTCTGACAAAAACGATTGTTTCAAAATCCCTGTGGCAGAGAGGAACAGGCTGTTTTGGAGTCTGTGAACTAAAAGGAGATCAGAAGATCCAGGCCGTCCGTCTCCTTTCCCTCAGACCAGCTTGCTTGGTGTGCAGGACTTAGATTGGCAAAAGTGAAGGAATTGGATCCTTGGTACTGCCCCTTTTCTCCTCTCTGTGAGGACTGAAAGGAGATCCTTGCAAGAGAAAAGCCGGGTAATTTGCCAGCCCTGAAAAGAGTATTTATCAAGACAAAGTGTTATTCTCTGCTGTCTTTTAGGTGAGCCTTTTACTCAGGAAGAAATGGAGGACATGCTCTCCACAGCTCTAGATCCAGAGACAAATACTGTTCGCTACAGAGACTACATTTCAATGATGATAGTAGACGAAAGTTAAGATCTTCCCCTATAGTGTTTCAGATGCCTTTTGGTAACAGCAGTGTAGCTTGGCAGTTAGTTGAAATATGTATTTTAAAGTATAACAAAGCTCGGCTTGTGACCTTGTGCTTATAATTAAAATAAAATCTGTGTAGCTATATTTCCTTGGGTTCTGTATACATATTGAAATATATTCACACCTGGAAAAAGAGCTCTTGACAGAAATACTGTGTAAGGTCTGGAAAAGAAATCATGGAATTTGGTTTGAAAAATAACAGGAAAAATAATGTTAATGGAGTCAAGAAATTACTTTACAATTCCTTCTGAAAAACTGACGGAAAATGAGACCTGTGAAAGTGGGTAATAAGTAGGTAAGTGAGTACCTTAAGATGGCTAAAATTGTGAAGGCATGCTACTAAGATAAAGCTTTTATATTTAAATGTAATCTGTGTTTGATGTTTAATAAGACACCAGGTAGGTTACTACTTTTGAAATAATATAATAGATCAAATAAACATTCTACAATTTCTAGTTTTTGTCAAATATTTGTGCTTTGTTTACTGAAGGTAATTAAACTGGACCAGTTAGTTCCATTTTATGTTACACATCCATTGGCATGTGGTATTTTGCTTCCATTTTAAACATGCAGGTAACACTCAAACCATTGCCATAGTCAAATTTACAAACAAAGTAATGCTTGAGAACATTTCTGTTACTATAGGCAATAAACAGTTCCCCTTTCGTAACCAGTTTGAAAGTCAGGAGATAAAACTGTTCAAAACTTAGGATCATAGGACTGGAATTTGATTTTCATAAACTGATGAAGCACCATATTTTGAAAGATGTTAGTGTAGAATATGTGTCTCAACTACCCTTGCTAGAAGACCACCACAGACCTCACTGCTCTTCTTATTTCTAGCTTAATCATTTTCTTGACTGTTACTGTAACTGTTGTCCTCTAACTTGAGTTTGAGCTCATTCCCCTTCAGTTCTTGCCTTATACATCATCTTCTAACAAGTGACCAGCGGTTGCCCTTAACTGAGGAGGTCTCAGCTTGTAGGAGAAGATTCTGTGGTCTGGTCCCCAAGGGCACCATCTTGCACTTTGTGCTCCATACCTTCGACTCCATTTCTGTTTTTCTACTCTCTGTCAAGTTTGGTTTCCTCCTTTACAGCGTCCTACCACTCCTGTGTCTTAACTGCATATCCCAGCTCTGTGTCATCAACAGACTTCATCAGCTGATGAAATCTGGGGAAGACTGACACACACAGGCATTGAATGCCTTACCCCCTGCCATGCCCTTTTAGTGGCAGAGCTGAAAACAGAGCACAGGGCTCCTCATGTCAGGTCTTTTGCTCTACCCATTTGTTTCACTCGAGCTGGAAACTCGGAGGAGCTGTTTTCATACACAGCTGCAAGGGAGCTGCTATGCTTCACAAAGAAGAGATTAGCACGATCTAAATGTGGTGACAGAAGCAATCTGAAAGAGACCATTTTTTAATTCTCTTTTTACTTCTCTAACCCAAGTTGTCTTTCACTGATATTTTCTTAAACAGTAAGGCAACAGAGAGTTAATGCAGGTAAACAACATTTGCCTAGTTCTAGGCTGAGTTTCCATCTGGAAACCGCTGTTGCACTGGTCCTAAGGCTGCAGTGCACTCTTGTTAACACATTTACGGTGTATTTCATTTCTTTGTCAGTAAGAATGAAAAACAAAGGTAATCATTAGTGTTATAACGTGTGAAGGTACAGGTTTTTGAAGATTAAAGCAAGAGCAACAAAGGCCCATTAAGAAAATATATTTTTTATTAGCCTTCTTTAGTCTCTCTTTGGAAGCTGAAATTATTTTCCCTAGACGAATCCTTCTTCCATTTGATATACAGTGTGTAGTACTGGATCTCTAACACAGCTGGCGTGAATACAAGTTTCATTCATATTCTGCAGTCTGGGAGCCACTGGCAGCCTCCTCTTGGATGTTCCCCTTGGATGTCATCAGGAATATGTTTATTTCAGGAAATCATTTCATAGCTCGCAGTGCTCCAGAGAGAGCACAATTTGTTTCTAGTGATGCTACCCCAGAGACCGCCTCAGCTACTGCTGTATCAAATCAGGATTCTCATGTACAACACAGTTACAATTCATAGTGCAGATAGGATCTTAACATATATCCTTTGATGATATACATAATTTTTTATCCTACAGTCCTCAAATGCAAGGGAAGAGGGTATTCTGGCAAGTAAAAAGTGGAATTGTGTCTGAATTTATCACACAGCAACTCCTCCAGCCCCATCTTCTTATACGTGTCCCCAAGAAAGGTACGTGCAAATAGGACAGATAAACAAGTTGCGGTCTTCTCTTGGGGCATAAGGAACCAAATTCCATTGCCTAGAGAGTTTCCAAACTGGGAGTGAAGGAAGTGTCAAGAACCAGTCTCAGACTTTGTAGGATCCTAAAAGCTGAGTGCTCCCTGCCAGCTAGGATCACGTAGCAGTGATCTGACCGGCTTGTGAAGGAGCTGCCCCGTGGGCCGCCCCAGAAGCGGCTGAGCAGTGCCACACATGACTGTTCCCTTGCCCTTGTCTTTCATGACTTGCCAGCCCATGCCGTGCCCACCCATCTCCCCATGGTGGTGGTGGGCTGCATAAGGCAACTCTTCGAAGCTCCCTGGGACGGGCTCTCTTAGTGCCTTGCATCTCTGTGCTCCCTGGGGATGAGCAGGGTCCCATACCCTAGGGGGAGGAGAGGAGACTTAGGGAACCATATTGCTGTAACTAAAAAACCCTTTTTGTTTCTAAATTTGAAGGGAAAAATACATTACTTTGTCCTCATCTTTGAGGTGGACAAATTGAACTGCTGAGTGGTCCTGAGCGGTCTCTTGCTACGTGCCTCTCCTTGCTGGCTGTTTTGCCTCTTCCCTCAAGATCAGGACCAAGATAAGGGAGTGGATCGCACCGGGAAGCCTCTAGGGAAGAACCAGCCTAGCACCTGGACTAAATCCACACAGGGAAGCAGAGCCAAGGCTTTGAAGAAACTGGGGAAGTCAGAGGGTTTTTGACCTAGTTGAAGGAGGGAGAGGGAAGGGAACTCATTACCCAGACGTAAAAAAGAAAACAAAAAGAAAAGACAAAGAAAAGAAAAAGAAGAAATCAAAGAAGCAAACGCTGGAAACCATCTACAAATACAATTGAATCAGCAGGCTGTTTACGTCACCGCTGCAAGTTGTAGGCTGGACAAGACTTTACTTGTTTAAAACTTTAAGTAGGTTCAGCTGTGTCAGGGCGTATCTGGTATATAGTGGAGACCTTCTCCTCAGTCTTACTGATACTGTGGAGAAATTCTTCCAGCTGCTGAACTTGCGTTTGGGAGTCCCGTTGCTCGTATTCCGGGTAATACATTGCTTTTTATGTTTCCCTCATCAGCTTTGGAGTTGCTTCTCCAAAACACTTTTCTGTCTGCTAGTGACAGTCCCATATATATTCACACCTAAAGGCTTCAACATTTTCCCATTGCAATGCATACCAACATGGTATTTACAGTTCTTTTAGACTCTCCACTGACTGTGGGTAGAAACAGAAGTTGCAGAACTTCCTCCACCAAAATGCTAAAGGGCCAGCATCAGACCTGGGACTCCAGGAAAGGAACTGGGCTGTTCACCTGTGCACCTCCACCCATGTTTTCACAGAGGTAAGAGCCTGCAAAATGTTCAGGCTCTTACCTCTGTTCAGGCAACAAGATTTTGCAATATTTTTCCTTCTTTCTCTTGTTTCAGTCTATCTTTTCTCTTGGTTCTCTTATACCTCGTTTCATTAATCCAGTTGCATGATAACCTATGAGGGTTGAAAACGCAAGAGAGTTTTGCTCTGCCCCACACTGCTGATGCCCTGCTGCTTGCTCTGACAGCTGCCCATATCAGGGTGTCATTTATCACGGGACCTAGACTTGCTGCCACCGAAATCAGCACTGGCAAAACTCTCATCACAGGTAACAGGAAGAACCTAGGCCTTCGGTTTCAGGGGGGAAGGTGGCTGGGGATGCTGGACGGGAAGCCATGGTTTTTTAAGTCCTGTAATATACCGTTATCATTGTGTAAAAGTGGGACTGTAGTCTCGACAGTAAGGCACCAGGTTGGCAGTCAGGTTTCATTCTAGACTTTGTGAGAGGTATTGGGTAAATCATATAATCTCTCCCTAGCTGAACTTCCCATCTATAAAGTCAGAGTAATTACAAGGAATAGGAGACAGGGAGTATCTGTCTTTCCTACCCCGACTGTAGACTTTGTATCACTAGCTCTGATGTTTGCACAGTGTCTGGTACTATGATGTTCTGATCGAAATCAGTGCCTACATACCTCCCTGACACATAATTAATAAAGTTCTCAGCCTTCAAGTGTTTTGTTCCAGACTGTACGTTCAGGTCGCAACTTCTAAACAGGTCAGTCTACAGCAAGCATGTTTGTTTTTCATTGAACACAACTCTGTTTCATAGTGTCTCATGCCATGATAGGTTTGATTGTAAAACTAACTATTGAAACATCTGGTCTTATTGTTGGAGGGTTTTTTGGGCAGGTCAGTACTAGGCATGGGGACTATGCTGATTTAAAAGCTAAATAAAGATGTAGGTTGAAACAAAGCAGATTCTCCTGTTTAACCCATTTTGAATCCCTGGGGCTACTATTTGGCTTAGTATAGTTCTGAAAGCCAAGAAAATATTATTCATTATGCTCAAAAGATTGATCACAGCATTTATATCCTGAGGCCCAAATCCTGAAGTCCTTATTCAGACAGAGCTCCCATTGACTTCAAAGGGAGTTCTGTCTGCAGAAGAGCTTCAGAAATAGTGACGTACTGGCTCACAAGGCACTGTAAAAAACTTTTAGTCTCTTTAAACGAAGCCTCATCTGTGGAAGATCTAAGAGAGATGTACAACCAGCATGCAATTTTTGTCATTGAAATGACCAAAACCATAAAACCATGGGAGTAGGTAGTTAATTCTTGTCTACAGTAATGCAAGCAAGCAAGATTCAACAAGAGTCAGCAGACAGAACTTTTCCATATTGTTCAGAGTACAAAAAGTAAAATCTAGGGATGCTACTGCATGGAGGCTTAAAATTACCTCTTCCTGCCGTTATCCTGGAAACAC